CCCCCCCCCCCCCCCCCCCCCCCCCCCCCCCCCCCCCGTCTGCTGCAGAGTCCCTGCTGGGTCCCTTGGGGGGTGGGCGGCTGTTGCAGGAGCTGCTTGAAGCGTAGATAAAGTGGCATGGAGAGGGTTGGTCTCTCATGGGGGGCCATCAGCCCCCCCTGCCCTCCCCCCAGAGCAGGATTGGGGGAGCCGCCGTGATCTCTCTGCTGACCTGGCCCTTCTCCACAGGACGGCCGCCACGCTGCCGAGGAGGAGATCTACACTAACCTGAACCAAAAGATTGACCAGTTCTTGCAACTTGCAGATTATGACTGGATGGCCGCGGAAGCCCCCCCCAAGGCCAGTGGCTACCTGGTGGACCTCATTGCTTTCTTGCGCAGCACCTTTGCTGTCTTCACACACCTGCCCGTAAGTCTGGCTGGGGAGGAGGGGGACGGGGGCCGCCGGGGGTCAGCAGGGCCTCCGGGCCAGTTAGAAGGCCCGGCCGAAGCTTCAGCTCTTCCTTTGGCCCAGCTTCCCTTCGCTCGTCCATCAGCCCTCGGCTGCCCAGAGGCTTTGGGGGACACAGAGGGCTTCCTCCTGCCCTCTTGGCTGCCGGCCCCGTTTCTCAGCCCTCTGGGTCAGACATGGGGGCGGGAGATCGACCTGGAACAGCCTCCGGATGGGAGAGCTCCTTGTGTGCAGCAGAACCCCCTTTTTCGTGCCACTCTGATGGGCCAATAGTTGTGAAGCCACGCCCGTCAGTGCAGAGTGTGGCCCAGGTGAAGGGACCTGGGCAGGATCCGGTCCCCAGGGGGTGCTGGGCACAGAAGTCCCCGGGTGGATGTGACCGTTTTCAGAGGGCCTGATGGAGGGAGGCTTTGGAGGACCTGCCCAGCTTCTTCCATTACAGGAGCCCAGCGAAGCAGTGAATCCGCCCGCCCAGTGGGAGTGAGTCCCACTGGCCATCACTGCCTTAGGGAAGAGGGAGGGAGGGAGGGAGAGGAAGAGAGGAAGAGAGAGAGGAAAAGAGAGAGGGAGAGGGAGAGAGGAAGAGAGAGAAAGAGGGAGAGAGAGAGGAAGAGGGAGAGAGAGAAAGAGAGGAAGAGGAAGAGAGAGAGAGAGAGAGGGAGAAAGAGAGAGAAAGAGAGAGGGAGAAAGAGGAAGAGAGAGAGAGAGGGAGAAAGAGAAAGAGAGAGGGAGAAAGAGAGGGAGAGAGGGAGAGAAAGAGAAAGAGAGAGGGAGAGAGAGAGAAAGAGAGAGGGAGAAAGAGGGAGAGAGAGAAAGAGGGAGAGAGGGAGAGAGAGGGAGAAAGAGAGAGAAAGAGAGAGAAAGAGAGAGGGAGAAAGAGAGGGAGAGAAAGAGAGGGAGAGGGAGAGCTTTCATTCGTGGGGGTTGACTGTTGTTTTTATGTCGTGTCAGAGGACTTAAGGACCGAAATCTCCGGAGGGATCCGTCGTAGCCGCGCACGGGGCTTGTTGACTCTGTGCTGTGGGAGAGGGGAGGTGATGTCAACACCTCGGCCGGCCTGTCAGCTCCACAAAGCCCGGAAGTTTTCTATTTGTGGGGGGGAAGGGGGGGTGTTTCTCTCTTGGCCCTTTCGGCTTCCTTTCATCCTCCTCCAAGGAGCCGTGTTTCTCGATAACCTTGGCGGCAGGCAGGGTAAGCGGGAGGTCAGCAGGGCCGGGAAGGGGAAGGGGCCTTTCATCGCCTCCAGCCGCTCAGCCCTCCTCCTCCCCCCCCCCCCCTTCCCCCCCCCCTTCCTCCCTGCCTGCTTACTGGGGCCAGATGGCCAGCGCAGATTTCGGTGGCTCCAAGGACGTGTGGCCCTTCCCAGAGAGCTCGGCCGCTCGGGCAGGAGGCTGGCTTTGGCTTTCAAGGCATGGGGGGCCCTTCCAGGGGGGCAGTGGCAGTGGGGGGCTCCTGCCTGTGGTGGGGGCCACAGAGGCTGTCCCCCCCCCCACGCCTTTCCTGGCTCTGGCTCAAGAGAGGGGAGTCCCAGGAGGGGAAATGATTGACAGGTACAAGCAACCCTGGAGGTGGTCCCTATGAACACCCCTCCTCCCCCCATTGCAGAGAGGATACCGAAGCAGGGGGAAGGGCTTGGCTGAAGGGGAGGGGCCCCGGCAGCCCCACCTGGCAGGGCTGGAAGGGAATCCGGGCCCCATCGGGAGGAGGGCCAGGAAGGGCAGCAGAGCGGAGGTGGAGCCATTGTGGGACCGGGCAGCTGCAAAGGCCCCCACGCCATCCTGGAAGGACCCCCGGGGGGGGGGTTGTTAAGCAGGAGCAGCCTCAGCTGAGTGGAGTTGGCCCCTCCAGCCTCGGAGCTCCCTGGATTGGGGACCCCTCCGCTGGGGTGCCCGGTGGCTCTCCCTGCGGCTGCTGGGGAGGGGGCCTCTGAGGGGGGGGGAGCTGCCCTAGAAGAAGAGGGGCATCTGGCAGTTTCCCTCCAGGGAGGCCGAAGGGGGGAGGGAGGGAGGTCCAGCCACTTCCGCGGCTGCCCCTGAGGGCCACCTGCAGGCAGGTGGGATGGCTGGGCTGCTCTCACCTGTCCTCCTAGCCAGGAGGGGGCATCCCTTCCCCTCTCCCTCCCTCCAGCAGATCAGGGCTAGCTGTGCCCCCTCCCCGCCCCAGGGAGAGGAGAGGCCTTGAAGCCCACAGCAACCCGGAGGCTTCCATAACCCCACTGGGGAGAAGGGGGCTGAGGAGTCGGCTCCCTCTGCTTCTGAAGGCCCCTTCTGCGTGCCGCCCGCGTGGAACCGGCTGCCCCCTGAGGTGGGCTTCTCCTGCGGCTGCAGCCTTCAAGCAGGAGGCTGGGCTCAGCTGTCAGAGAGCCTGTGCTAGATTTTGGGCTGAATAGACCCCTAGATCTGCCATGCCTTCAAACGTGGGATCCCGCCGCCCCCGATCTGCCTCCCGCTGAAGGCGGCTCTTTTGCCCGAGGCAGCCTCAAGGAAGCCTCCCTGGTCTGGGAACCGGCTCCGTTGGCCCTCACCGGCCGAGTCCTGGGAGCGGCTCCTGAGCCGGCGGCTGCCGGAAGGGCCTGGACAGGGCTGAGCCCCGGCAGAGCCTCCGAAGGGGCCCTGGTCCTCTCCGGCCGATAGGAGACGAGGCAGGGAGGAAGAGCCTGGAGTGCCCCCCGCCCCCCCCCCGTAGCCCTTGGGCCTGGGTCCCCCTTCATGGAGACAAAGTGCCTCTTGGTTCCCTTGTTCTCCTGAAGGGGGCGGCAAAGAGTCATTGGACGGCCACTGGCACCACTGCTGGGCGCGAAGCCTCCTCTCCCAGTTCTCCTCCCCCTTCGGACCCTCCGCTCGGCTTCCACTCCCACCAAGGGGAGCAGTGGGGGCGGGGGGGGGCGTTGAAGCCTCCTGGGCCACCATCTCTGCTCCAGCCCTCAGTGGGAAGGTGGGGGGGGGGCAGAGCCAAGGCCTCGGAAGGGACGGCAGAGCTTTGCTTCCAGAGCTCCAGAAAAGGGGGAGTCTTACCTGGCAGCCACCAGTTCCTGTTGCCCTATTGCCCGGTTCCCTCTTGCAGCTGTTCCCATCCTTCCAGTCAGGCCTGATTCTGGGACTCTGCCTGGCCGATCCCTGGAGGTCTTGGAGAAGGGAGGGAACTGCCTGCAGGGGCCAAGACGAAGGGGCCCTAAGGCTGCTGGGGGTTCCCTCCGTGCCTCTCTCCCACCTCCAGCACAGAGCAGTGGCCAGCAACACTAGGAGCCCCCCCCCCCCCCCCCCGTGGTTTTCTGCCCACAGGATCCCCTTGGGCAGCCGGGCTTCTGCAGGGCTTCTTCCACTGCACGGAATGAAACATGGCTGCAGGCGTGTCGGTGGGATTTCTTTTGATGTTCTCTCAGCTCATTCTGTGTTTTAACCACCACTAATCAAAGTAATAATCTAGTGGTTTTATAGTAAAGCCACGGGGGTTAGAACGCCGCATTGCAGGCTAATTCTGCCAACTGCCAGCAGTTCATTTCTGACCGGCTCATGGTTGACTCAGCCCTCCTTCCCTCCGAGGTGGGTAAAATGAGGACCCAGATTGTTGAGGGGCGTGGAATGTGCTGACTCTGTAAGGTGCTTGGAAAAGGCTGGGAAGCGGCATATAAGTCCGAGTGGCTCTATGGCTCTATGGATTCCTTGGTGCTTTCTGACTTCATTTCCTTGCCCAAGTACACACCATCATCAGGTGTTTACATGCAATACTTTGCCCTGCAGGTGTGGTTGGGGGGGTGGTGTTGTTTTTTTGACCAGGCTGTTGTTCCGGCCTTGATTGTTTGTCTTGGGTTAATCCCTGCTTATCTGGGCGTGGGCCACTGGAGAGGTTCTGGTCTTCTCCCTTTTGCCATTGTTTCTTTCGAAGGGGCTGCAAGTGGGATTAACTCCGGGGCGCCTGTTGTGGGCCGATGTGTCTGAATGCCAAACCCCCAGGGATCCCCTAGCGTTTGGGGGATTGGCTTGGTCTAGGATGCCCCCACTTCCTCCTCTGAAACTCCGGTTGACTTTGTGTCCTGAGATGAAGGATTCTCATGGTGCGGGGTCCAGACTGGGTCGGTCACCGGGACCAGAGGTTCTGCCTTCCGAGCTTCTGGACTCGTGGCTGGAGCCCAGGCAGCGTCTCTTTGGCAGAGAGTGGGCTCTTCTGACGGGGCGTCTTCATTCTGCCTTGAACCGCCGGCTGCCCTTCTTGGATGTCTGCTACTGCCTTCCTCCGGCCTGAGTGTCCTGCACTGTGGCCGTTACATCCTTACGTTGCGTGTCGTAGGGGATGGCTGCAGCCGGGGAATTCCCGGAGAAGAAGGCCCCCTCTCCGGCAGAATCTCCCCGTGGAAGCCGAGAAGTTGTGTAAAAAGGGCTGTCTTCTTTTTGCTTCTGTCATCCAGACAAGAGGTTTCTGCTTGGGAGGGGGGCTCTTGGCTGCCTTTCTCCTGTGCCCCCCAGTGTCAGGAAGCGGTCCTTAAGTGAGGACCTCACTGTGTGTTGCTGAGTTGTTATCCAGGCAGCGCACGTGATCCGGCAGGGACCCTCCGCCTCACCTGCGTTGGTGGGAAGGTGACTTTAACCGTCCCGCCGTCTCCAAAGGTCTCGGGGCCTCTCGGAGGCAGGGAAGAGGCAGGGAAGGCAGAGCAGGAGCGGAGAGAGGCTGCTGGGCCCTTCCGGCCATCCCCCTGTGTACGGGGAGTCCTCCACCTAGGACCACAAGGGAGCGCAACGTTTCTGTTGCTAAGCGAGACCTTTGTTCAGTGAATTTTCCTGCCTCATTTTACGACCTTCCTTGCCGTGGCTGTTAAGTGAATCACTGCGGTTGTTCAGTTAGTAACTCGGCTTTAGTGAAGAGACTCTGCCGCCTTCCTGGACTTTGCTTGCCAGAGGGCCAGAAATGTGACCACGTCACCCCGGATGCTGCGGCCGTCATAAGCACGAGTCAGTTGCCGA